GGAGTACGTTTTGATGCCAATCAAAAGCTTCTTTCTCATCAGACGCACAAGCAGGGGGGAGAGCACGGCAAGCGTGCATTTGCTTGGGTTCTCACGCAATCGAACCAGCGTATTTCTTGCAGGGCGATTCTGGCCACTCGGAGGATTGCGCGTCACCACCTGCGCGCGTCCTTCTGCCGAGGGCACTGTCGACCACAGCTCGAGCAGGGATCCGCGAAGGTGTTCGAGGCCTTCTACACATTGCCCATCACTTGTGCTGTCTGTGGACTCTCTCTTGGCTCAATGGAATCTTTTCAGTGGCGCGCTCAGGAGCATTTCCCACCCAGCTTCGGCTTCGTTGTGGAGTTCCCGGATGAAGGCCTGGGCTGAGAAGCTCGCCAACTCGGAGGCGGACAAGGAGCCGGCCGCCAAACGTCGGGCGGCATTTTGTTCGGGGTCGAGTGACAAGATGAAAGAGCTGATCGCCTTGACGGGCAAACCCGGCTTGAAGAATGCGCTCGAGATTCGCATGGTCATCGCTGCGGAGTTCTATGCCTTTTCGTTCTTGCCGAATCATTGGATGACCAACATCGCCTCGACGTCTTCCAAGGAGCACGCCGACGAGACCCGCGGAAAGTCCGGCCACGAGGAGGGCGCCCCGGACCCGAAGGCTCTCGCACAGGTGCCCCTGGCGGCGTTTCACGGGGGGCGCAAGGCGGAGCTCGGCCTTGCGGCCCCGGAGGAGCAGCTCGTGAACACGTTTCTCGAGAAGCACCCTCCGGAGGGGAAGCGCGGCGTCATCCAGTTCGCCGCCCCTGTGTTCAAGGTGCAGAAGGCGTATGGCCATGAGATCAAAGGCATGAAGCTGCACTTCCGCTTCCGGAATCATTCTGATTTCCCTCTGACGGGGGAGAATTTCATGGTCGTTTTCATGAAGAAAGCCGGGGGCCAGCAGCTCGTCGGCCAGGCCCCGCGGGGCTCCCTTGAGCGGCGCATCCAGACTCTGCTCGACGAACTCAAGCTCTAAGCGCGGTAGCACGCAATGGGTTTTCCAAACGTGGCATGTACGCATATATGCCATGCAGATTTTTTCTACGTTGCCACACCCCCCCTCCGCTGCTTGCTTTCTCCTCCTCTCTCCTCGCCTCTCTTCCGCGGCTTCTGCTGTTGCGTGCTCTTTTCTTCTCCCGGCTCCGTGGCCTCTCCCGCTCCTTTCGCCCGTCATTCCCCCCTCCTGCCGTCGTTCCCTTGTCGTCGTCGTTGCTGGGGTGCGGCAGGGAAAACGTATGTCTGCGAGTATTGTGGGGCGGCAGCTGCACCGCCGTCGCTCGCCCTCCCCCTCCTCCCCTTCGCCCCTGCGCGGCCGCTGACAGACCTGTCGGATCCGGCATTCCCAGGTGGCCCGCTGACGGGGCGCCCGTGCGGCCGACCCCTGCCGCCCCCCACCCAGGCCGGGAGGTGCGTGGGAGCCGCGGGTGCAATCGTGAAGTGCTATCATATAGCGCAGTTCCTCCAGAACTCCACCAGAGAGGCGGATGCGAACGCCGTTTAGATACCGCGTGCAGACATTCGTTTTGGAGTTCCTTGCGAGGCGTGTGAGTGAGTGAGTGACTACCATCTCCTTGTGAAGGAAGAGCACGAGGAGAGTCCACCAGGCCCAGGTGGAAATGAGCCGATGATGGAGCTAGTTCTCGAGGATGAGTCTTTTTGGTTGGTTGGCGCCTTGGCAGGTGGCCGGCCGCGGCCTGGTCGAATGCCCCATGGTGGATTCGCCGCATGTTTCATGTTTCTGCGCGTCGCGTTTCCAATATCTTTGCTCGGACTCTCCGCAGCCACCGCGGCCTTGCCCAGAAGTGAAAGGGCAGGCGTGGCGGAGGCCGCGAAGTCGAGAACTCGAGGCGCTTCGAGCATCTCAGACATCCGCAGGCGGTGCGACAAAAAGTCCGCATGGAGTCACGTCAGTCGCCGTCAGTGTTTGCCCGTGACATAGTGCGTGCAGCGAAAAAGTGGTAGCCGGAGTTCAATTTTCACGGCCTTGCTGCTGGGCCGTGTCGCCGATGACAATGATGGCTTTCAGAATTCAGATTGCGCGACGCGGCGAGTCGATGTTTGATCTTCGCCGGCGTCGTCAACGTGTTTGTGTTTGCAGATATGCGTGGTTGTGGGATTTGACTTACAAAGGTATCGGCATCTCGCTTATTTTTCAACTCCTGCCAAGTGCATCGTACGTCGCGGCAGGCGTGGTCCCTCCGTGCCTCTCGGGATGGCAGCTCAGCTGGCCTTTGGGCGCTCCGTGTGTTGGGCCCGCGGAGCATTGTTTTGCTGTGGGCTGCTCGGCCATCAGCACCCGCCGACTTGCTGGGCCGCGTCTGGTTCGGTGCCCCTGTCGGCGCGCCGGGCCGCGCGCGGCGCGGTTGCGCCGTGGTTTCCCTGGACCACTTGTGAGTCGGAATCCAGGCCGTGGCGCTGGGGGCCTTGTGGATGCTCCTCCGCGTGTCGGCGGGCTTCGCGTTGGTGAGCGCGGACCTGCCACAGGCCCCGCGTTCCCTGGCCCCGCCGCGGGCCGCCTGCTCGGGGCGCACAGGTGTCTCATCCTCCCCCTCGGCGCTAGAGAAGCGGTCCTGGTCTTCGGGTTCTGGCGTACTAGGGTTGGGAGGCGGGCTCGGGGTGTTTGCGTGCTTCCCGCCCGTTTCTGGATTCCGCTGTCCTTCGGTTTCCGCTCGCTCGTTCGCTTCTTTTCTTCCACCATCTCTTTCCTCCTCCGCATCATCCTCATCCAACAGCGGAAGGCCGACCTGGTGATACGGAGCCTCCACCCCGAAACGGGAGACACATTGCCCCCATTTGCTAGAATGACTTCGCTCAGATGTTATGCATGGGGCTTCGCCTCCCCCATCAGCCTTGAATGACTAGCGGGGCTCCTGAATTCCAGGGACCGTCTGCTCTTTAGGCGGACCTCTGCTGGCTGCTTGTCGTCTTCTTCCCTCTGTCACGGGACGCTCTGCGGATGCTGGAATGACAGTGGTGGTGGTGAGCACCTTCTTGTCTCCCCGTCGCGCAGGGCAGGGGGGGCGGGGTTGATGAGGTGATTGTGCACGCGAGACGCGCTGTGCAAGCCCAGTGTCTTGCCACCCGCTGCGTGTGTGCGTGTGAGATTGAGTGTGAGTGTTTGTGTAGGTGTGTGTGTGTGTGTGTGTGCGCACGCGCGCGTGCGCGTGTGTGTGAGTGTGTGTGTGTGTGCGTGTGTGTGCGCGCGTGTGTGTGTGTGCGCGTGTGTGTGTGTGTTGTGTGTGTTGTGTGCGTTGTGTGTGCGTTGTGTGTGCGTTGTGTGTGTTGTGTGTGTTGTGTGTGTGTGCGTTGTGTGTGCGTTGTATGTGCGTTGTGTGTGTTGTGTGTGTGTGCGTGTGTGTGTGTGTGTGCGCGTGTGTGTGTTGTGTGTGTTGTGTCTGTGTGTTGTGTGCGTTGTGTGCGCGTTGTGTGTGCGTTGTGTGTTGTGTGTGTTGTGTGTGTGCGTTGTGTGTGCGTTGTATGTGCGTTGTGTGTGTTGTGTGTGTGCGTGTGCGTGTGCGTGTGCGTGTGTGTGAGTGTGTGGGTGTGTGAGTGTGTGAGTGTGTGAGTGTGTGAGTGTGTGAGTGTGTGAGTGTGTGAATGTGTGAGTGTGTGAGTGTGTGAGTGTGTGTGTGTGTGGGTGTGGGTGTGGGTGTGGGTGTGGGTGTGGGTGTGGGTGGGGGTGTGGGTGTGGGTGTGGTGTGGGTGTGGGTGTGGTGTGGGTGTGGGTGTGGGTGTGGGTGTGGGTGTGGGTGTGGGTGTGGGTGTGGGTGTGGGTGTGGGTGTGGGTGTGGGTGTGGGGTGTGGGTGTGGGTGTGGGTGTGGGGGTGGGGGTGGGGGTGGGGGTGGGGGTGGGTGTGGGGGTGGGGGTGGGGTGGGGGTGGGGGGGTGGGTGGGTGGGTGGGTGGGTGGGTGGGTGGGTGGGGGTGGGTGGGTGGGTGGTGGGTGGGGTGGGGGGGGGGGGGCGGGGGTGTGTGTATGTGTGTGTGTGTGCGGGGTGCGGGTGCGTGTGTGTGTACAGGGACGCGGGGCCGTGCATCCGCCGCGCAATTTGCAGCAGGCAGCCAAACGCACAGGATAGTTGAGGCGTATCCACTCACACCAGTGGGAACAGGGAGGCGACAAGAGGCAGGCGCGATTAACGGCATGAGGAGATCGCAAAGGGGGACCGACCGACCGATCAGAACGACAGTTGTTACAATCCCGGTTCGATGAGATACGTGTGTAGTTTTGGCGCGGCGTTTGCTGTTGCGTGGAGCCGCCTCCTAGGCATGCTCACACCCCTACCTCCTCCCATTGCCTTCCCAACTGTTCAACCATCACCTGCACAGTTTTGACAGACAGGCTGGCCACTTGCATTCTCGTGGACCACCAGTGCAGTCTGCACGGTCGGGATGCGCTGTTGTTGTGGTGCCCGCTCTCCCGCTCTCCACCCAACATTGTAGTGGAAGTGCGTGGACAACCGCTCCGCTGGCAATTGGGACCTTACCGCGTCCTGTAACTTCGAAACGTTTTCAAATACCACCACCACCCAAAAGCCAAAGCGAGCGAGAGCGGAGAACGAATATTAAGGGATGATGATGAGGAGGAGGAGGAGGAGGAGGAGGAGGACTGAGTGGAGGAGAATGAGGAGGACAAGGACAAGGACAAGGCGAACCGGGTAACGCGCAGAGATTATCACCAGGCAAGTCTTTTGGGGGCGCGGAGGTAGGATGAAAGACCCCCTGCGGTTAACCAGATGATGCATAAGATTTTCGCGCGCACCCGAACGGTGCTGGAAACGCATGTAGACAAAGTCCGGTCCATGTCACACTCTTCCAAACGGCGCGAATTCAGTTCTGATTGGGTGAGTTTGTGACGCCTTCACCCACCACACACATTTGCCAATCACTTTGGAGGGGACCACCGTTGCAACCAGAGACCCACCCTCCTGTTGTTTCCTGAGTGCCCCTGTACTGCAACATCGCCCCCAGGCTTGCGCCTGGTGCGGCTTGCTGCGGCTGGTGGACGCTACAGAGCCCCGGTGGGTGGACGACATCGACGCGCAGGCGGGCCGCATTCCGACTGCTGGGAATCTCTACCGCAAACGCCCATGGCGAGCCGCCGCCGCCCCCCTGTCTGTTTGGTTACACCTGCGTCGAACTGTTGAGGGGAGGTGCAGCCATGCTAGGGGACTGCGTGCTCTTCTCCTGGGCCATCTTCCCCGTAGCAATTTTGGCTCAAAACGGAGCTTACCTCAGAGGCTCGAGGTTGAGGTGGAAGGGCAGCCCCTCCCGCAGGCCTGGCTGCCTCAGCTAGCTGTCAGTGAACTCCTGGTTGGAGCACCCATTTTCGTCCCTCGGCGCTCCGAGGACATGGGTCGTGCGGCACTCTGGTGCGGCAGCGGCCTCCATGAATGACGGCGTGGTCCGCGGACCGAAGACCCCGTTCTGGGGGTGCCAGGGTTGCGGGCGCACGAGCAATTGGGCATGCAGGCTGCGGTGCCGCTGCGGGGTCAAGGCCCCCGCCTCTGTGCTGCAGCGTGCCAAGAAGTTTGGTAGCAATGGGGGCGGGAGTAATGATCGGGGTGCTGACCCTGGGCGTGGCCGTCCGCCCGAATCGGATTCGCGTCGCGAGGCAAAGCTGGAGTCCATATGGCCGAGTTGCAGAAGAAGCTGGACCAGCTCCTGCGCGGAGGCTCCTCCACGCCTGCCCGCGGCGCGACAGGCGGGCAAAGTGCAAGAGGGCAGCAGGGTAGGGTTCGGGCCAACGGGGGTGCCGGTGAGGAGCCCGACCCACTCCAAGTTCGAGTGCAAGTTGGAGCCGCCGATCAAGGCCCGTGGCAGGGCCGAGGACGCAGCGGAGGCGCGCACGCTACTTGAGGGCAAGCTCAAGCTGGTGCGCACAGAGATCGAGAGCAAGAAGCCGAGCATCACCCAGCACACGAATGTTGGACACAGGCTCGCGCGGGCTAGAACCAAGCTGGAGAAGGTCACGGCGGAGCTGGAGGAGCATAACAAGATGCTCGACGAGCTCAACGCCAGGACGGCCGAGATCCAGGCACGCAAAGTTGCGGCAATGGCGGAGGTGGCAGAGTTGTATTGGCAGCACATCCAGTCCTTCCCTCGTGCTTCTGATGGCGATGATGGTGACAGCAAGCAGCCTTTGGATTTCAACCTTCCCCCCGGCATTCTGGAGGGTAGGGACGCGATCATGAGCAAGCTCGCCACTCCCCAGTTTCAGGAGTTTGCGAAGATGTTCGCCGATCATCGGGCTGCTGCTGGTGGCGACCGCGCAGGCGCAGGTGAGCCTCGCGATGGGGAGGCCGCTGATAAGGAGGGTGCACCCGCCCCGCACGACACCGAGATGGGCGATGCCTTCGAAGACGAAACAGCTGCGGAGGCCTTCTGGGACAAGCATAGTTGCGACGACCGGCTTTCACCCAGGCCTTTTCCGGCGCCAAGCTCAAGAAGCTGAAGGTGGCGAGTCTTTAGCATCAGCCCGACATGGGCGAGCAGAAGAGTGACCACGACGACCACGGAGTAGGCAAGCGATGTGGCTGACGTTTTGCCTGATGATGTTGTGCGGTTATACTCGTATGTGTGTGAGTCGAAGTGGTTGCACCAGCAGACTGCCGACGATTCGAAAGCAGTATTGTACCTCGTCGATGTGCTGCAGTACGGTCAGGGCGTCAATTTCAGTGAATTCGGCGTGAGGGGTGACCAGATGCACAGTTGCGCTGCTGAGCCGCCATTGCACCGTGCGCCGCCTCGTTCTCTGTTTTAAGCAGCCAAGGCACGTGTCAGGTCACACTTGGGGCCCGAGTGCACTGGCTTTCGCGTTTCAGCCCATGGCGTAGGCTTTCCGCCGCAGTCCTCCCCCCCCGCCGAGCTTGTCTTTGAATCGTATAACGGTAACAGCTCGGGCACTCTCAAGACAAGACTTGGGAGCACACAGGCGCCAGTGGTGTTTGCACGGGAAGTGAGCATTACTGAAGATGACCCGGCGGCGAGGATCGCCAGGGCTAAGAGTCTGGGGTGGAGCATGTTGCGCGCTCCGTCGGTTAAGCGTGCAGGAGAGCAGACGTCAGCTGGAGTTGCCAGTATAGCGAGGATCTCGGTGGGCCTCAGGTGGCCGTCGAGGTTGCCACGTGGGATACTTGTCCCTCACAGGCTACTGTTCGCTACGACAGACGTACCAGAATGGCCCGAACTGCTCGTAGCTTGCGCGTTCATGCGCAGCAGCGAGGGTCTGAGCGAGCGGAACCTCGACATTTTATTTAGAGCATGCAGGGTCGACTTTGGGGGTGCCCACCTGTCGGCGTTCGCAGCCGGTTGGAACTTCTCTGCGCGCGCTGCAGAGGCGTCGGGCATGCCTCGGAAAGCTTCGACGATGATTTTGCCACCCAGCATCAGCACCTGCGCCGCCCCGAAAAAGCGAACGCCATGATCGACTATTGCATGGCATCGGCGGCCTTCAGCATGCTTGTCGAGGCCGCCGAGGCGGGCGGCATGTAGCCGGAGCGGCCCCATCGACCTGTTCGACTCCGATTATGGCCTGGGGTTTTGAAATTGCAGCAGCATGTTTACCCATCGCACCAGGCGCTGCCAGTCGAGCTCCCCGCTCGCCCCCCCCCCCCCGCCGATTGATGGGTCCGTGGCCCGGGCGGTCCCTGAGGGGGCGAACCGTAGAGCGCGGAGCCGACCGCGAGGAGGTTGCCCTCGCCCGGGGCGCGTTGGACAGAGCTTGGAAGGTTTTTTCTCTCCGGACAGCATGGAGCTAGCGTTGTAAAGTAGAACTGGCGCGCCGATCAAGCGCAGTGGGCTCAAGGGTAGGCGGTCGCAGACTTAAGTGGGGCCCCGCTTTAACCTTCCGGGGCGCAAAGTCGAAGGCGGCATCCGCAGTGGAGAGGGGTGGGTTTGGCTGCAGCTGGGGATGACGGACCTCCGAAACATTAATCAACGGTTGCTTGCGCAGTCGGAAAAGTTTGTTGACCGCGCTGAAATTCTGGCGGCGGTCAACCTCGCTCAAATTATCAGCCAGGAAGCTGAAGGCCCGTCTCCGAGATTGGGCCCCACAGCCCGCAAGGCGCGAGAGATCGCGGCGACCTGGCCGCGGGATTTTGCTGCCCTCGCCGGGTGGATTGACCGCTGCTCGGAGACCTTAGAAGAGTGGGCTGGAGATGTTCAACAGGCCCGCGAGGGGCTCGACAAAAAAGCCAAAACGAGTTGGGGCCAGTGGCAGACGACGGCGCCGGCGGGATCGGCCCGCAAGATGCGCCGCTTCACGGGTGGTGAAGGCCAAGTGGCAGCCGACGGCGATGGAAACCAGTCCTGCGATTTTCTCGCGGGGCCCTCGACAGCTGCGGGCCCAAGGCGCCGACGTTTTCCGGGGGTTCTGGAATGCCATTACCGCGCCCCCGCCTGTCGACGTGCTTGATAGACAGTGCTTTGAACGAGCCACGGCGGCTGGGTTGCGATCGGCCTCCAAGATGATCTCGGCGCGCGCGGCTCAGTCCCTTGATGGGGGGCGCGTGCGCCAGTTTGCTTGGATGTCTGTCGCTGGCTTGGACACTCCCGCGCGCCCTCATCAACGCTTTGAGTTCTGGGGGCCCTTCCCCAAAGCCTCATCCTGGATGTCGCCCCCCCTCCTGGAGAAACCCGAGAAAGGTTTGCGTTCGATCTTATTGTGCTCCTCACCAGTTAGGCTCTGTGAGCGATTAAGAAGACCCTGTCTGGCGACGTTCAACGACCGCCACCCCCGACGTTGCCGGGCCTTCGGAGCGGGGAAGTCGGCGGCAGGTAGCGCGTGGAACCAGGCGGTTACTGCTGAGGCCCTCGCGGCCGAGGGAGGCGTCGCCGCCGGTATCTCCTGGGGCGGGTCGAAGAACTATGAGAGCTTCGACCTCAGGATTTTTCGGGATGGGAGTCACCGAGTTGGACTCGACCCCGTCATCTTGAAGGTTGCCTTCAACTTCTGGGGGGGTGTCCTAGGACCTTGCGTTTGGGTGCGGGCCGTGCGCCGGCGGCGTTGCACGCCGAGAGCGGGCTGCCAGCAGGGCCCATGTCCAACGACATGTTCGCGCGCATTCGCACTCGAGCCATGTCGACGGTATCGCGCAGCGGAACCCCGGCATCGATCTCGCGTCGCATGTTGACGACGACGCAGTCTCCGCGCATGGCGCGGAGGCCGAGGTCATCCAGGCTCTCGAGAGTGCGGCGCAGGACTTGCACAGAATTGTCACCGAGGAGTTCGGGGTGAATTTGGCCTGCGATAAATTGATGGCGATCGGATCGTCGCCCGCGGATGCTCGTCGCCTTGGGCGCGAGCTCGGGCAACCGGCTGTGATATGACCACTGGAGGGGGCGCAGCAGGGCAAGTCCGCCCACAAAAGAGACGGGGTACGTAGGCCCCAGGATACGATCCGCATGCGCCGCGCTCTCTGCGGGCATCGGAGGGCTCCCCAGAGGGAAAAGTTATTTATGGCTTGGAAAGATTTACACGGCAGGGGGCAAGCCTGGCTTGAGCTTCGGCGACGCGATAGTCGGCATGAGCGACGCCGAACTTAAGCGAGCGCGAAGTGTGACGTTGTCCTTGCAGGCCCCCAGCCACGCTGGCATGTCTTTGCGAGGCAAGACGGCGCTTCTAGGAGATCCCACGTGGAGGGGCATGGTGGCCCCTGCGTCGGCGCGGTCACATGCGGCGCGGGCCGCCACGACGCGGCCTGCGCATGCTTTTGTTCTCGACGCAGGAGTTGCGCGGCATGTGGGGGACCATCCAGCCCGCAGGCCAAGCGTAGGCTAAACGTAAAGGTCCGATCAGCCGAATGCACTTCCCGCTTGGGCGTATTGGGTGGGAAGCCTACACCACGCTCGATTGGCGCGACGATAATGGCGCGGAGATTCCCCTGCTCTACACCGCCCCCGCCATGGTCGGACATTGGTTGAGCATCGGCATCCAACGGCATCATTTGGGTAAAAAAAGCTTGGTTGGGTCCCCGGTGCCCGTGCGCGCGCGGAACCCATTTGGGGGGTCGCGAAGACAGGGGTCGAAGGACTTGGACCTGACGCCCATGGCAAGCATTTAGTGATGGCCCCTTTTATGCGATGGCCTCTGGGCGGAACATAGAGCACAACAGTCAGGGTATATCACGCCAGGCCTCTGCCCGCTCTGCCAGGCGCCCGGCTCGGTAGGACGCGGGCTCTACGGCTGCCAGCGCGAAGAGGTAGTTGCGGCACGGCAGGCTGCGGGCGCGCCCGCGAGCTTTCTCGAGCGCGCCCAGGGCGGGGGCGCGCAGGTTTCCGAGGCGCTCGAGTTTAAGCATCCAGCGGCCGACTGGCCTATGTTGTCGGATGGACATAGCCTGAGTTGTACGATATGAGTGGTCGAAAGATTCCGCGGGGACGATTCGACGGGCTCGCATTGCGCCGAACAGGAGACGGATCACGCACGCGGCGCAACATTCGCGAGTTGCCGAGAGAAACGCATTCGTGGATCTTCTTCGATTCGGAAAGGGTGCAGAGGTACATCGCCAGAGGTGTTGTCTGGCCGACAACTGGCGTCACTCCCGATATATGTTCCTAACCATGGGCCCATTCCTGTACGGCGGTTGTGCAATTGCGGTGAAGCTTCTTAACATGGAACTTTCACGTCAGATGGAAACTAAACAAGTGTATGGGGGTTTGGGAAGTGGGGCCCTGCCCCACATGCGGGATTACATGTATGCCCCAGCTGTCCACACCCCTGCCCATAGGAAACACGAAGATATCGAGCAGCTGCCCCCGCCTGAGAGGTGGATCGGCCAGGCCAACTGGCGCGCGGATCGAGAGGCCAAGAGAGCTCTCGACCTGCATCCCCAGGCTTCGGCCGCCGAGTGGCAGCAGTTTGACAGTTCGATCGGGTCCCTCGACATGGGGGCGCGCCTCGCGGCGAACGTTTTGCCGCGTTTTCCGAGGGTGCGCCACCGGCGCCCACCGAGGCGCGAGCGCCCGATTAAGGTGATCGAACAAGCCGCCAGCTGACACAATCAGGAGAGCTGGCTGCGGGGCCACAGGTGTGCCAAGTGTTAAAGCTTGCATGGGGTAGCCCCCAGGCCCGGCCAGAAGTGGGGCGCCAGGGTCTCTCCCGCAGTTTAACCGAGCTCCTGGCATATGCCCCCGACAATGGACATAAGCTAGCGAGCGCGCAGGTTAGTGATGAAAAGTTGCCGTTCGTATGCACCACGACCTGTGGGAGCTACCCAAAAGTGAAGGCGCGTAAATTGGCGGCGAAGCGTGGCCCCAAATAGCGCAGTGGATGGGGCCCATGGGCTGCCATCCGCGCCCGCATCGCCGAGCGCGGGTCGGGAGGGCGGGCGGCGTCGCGAGCGGCGGGCGGAGCGGAGTTTGCCTCTGCGGGGGAAG